ATCAGCTTTTTATGTACTACGAGTTAGGTCGTCGCGGTCTTAGTACTTTCGTCATAAATAAATGGGAGTGTTTTCTTTTTTTATCTTTACTTTTTTTTTTTTTTAGACCCCCACCGCGGTCAATTGGGGTTCCCNCACAGTTTAGGTACATTTAGGTCACTGCACTTTGGACTTAGTATAAAACAGATACATACCTTCTGAAGATCCTTATATTTTTGGATAATGTCTGTGGATGACGATGACTCCGGCCTTGGTTTTTTGCTTGGTCTCTCCTGAGAACAGACAACAACATATATAAATATTTGTTTTTGTGTGTGGTTGTGTGTGTCTTCATAAAGTGGTGGTGTTTCGATTTTGAATCTCTGACTGTTCCACGTCGTCGTCCTCCTCCAGAAAAGGCCTCCTTTCTTTGCCCTCTTGCCTTTTCCCATCGGCCCGGATTGTTCCAAAGGTTCTTTACCTTCAACCAGCCGGTTCCTCATCTTGAGGAGTGCACCTTTTTCATCTATTGGAAGCAACAAAGATATTCAGCCTATTACTTTGTACAATCCATATATATATATAATCCATATATATATATATATAGGGTACATCAACATATAGGGTACATCAACATTTGTATGTGAGTCACATTGTCTGCTTACATGACAATATGTTGGTAATGATACTCTGTATAGGAAAATATAACATATGGGTAAGCAGACAATGTGACTCACATACAAATGTTGATGTACCCTATATGTTNAAAGGATCGTTGCGATCTTCTTCGCCCTTCGCGCTCGCTTCAACCCGTGGCGCGTGCAGTGGTGAGTGGTCGATGGGAGTCGCCGTTCTTATTTGGCACGGGACCTTTTTCAAGAAATTAAAACAAGAGTAAGTGTTTTCTCTCTTGGACTCTTACATGTTTCTATTAACAAGTCTACATCCATCTATAAGGGTCCTGAAAGTTTTGCCAATGGCCTCCTGGGCATACCTCGTGTTGAACACTGTCTCATTTCCTGCCCAAAAGGAAGAAGTATAACCTGCTGCCTACTTGACGGTTATATATTCTGCATAAAGGTAAAACCCACCCAAAAACAAGAGTGTAATGACATAAAGTTGCTTAATATCGTCATCATATGATGTTGTAAAACTTGCAAAAAATCTACATGTACATATCTAAGTGAGCACATATGACGGTAATAAAAGGATAAAACTATCGTATCATCGGTTATACATGTTTATGCAATATTTTTGATAATTTAGTTATAACTGAGATTTATTCGAACCTGTAGCCGATATGTCATATTGGTTGGGATCGAAAAAACGACTCTACGGGTTAATTTTACCGGGTGTAAGTTTACACACACATATTTACAGACACATTGTCCGAAAACACACTAAAATAGTTAAATGTCTGAGACTGAAGTAGGTCACTACTTCGAACGTTAACTTCTAGCTTACTTCTTATCGCTCACCCACTGCTTCATATACACTGTAAGTATGTCACTGCTACTCAACACCATATGTATCATCTAAAGTAATTTTATAGTCATAAGTAATGTATACTATTGCAATAACACATCCGGAATAACGTAAATTGAGTCCGACTAGTGGTAAGACCGCCCTGTAGTCTAACTGTTTCCCCTCCTGGGTGTAGTACTTTACCATCATCAAAAACGTTTAAACTGCACTAGGTGTCTGAATTCTTTTACCCTGAGTGACCATTGAATTGATCTGAGGACGAATGAACCCAGTGACTAATTAAAAACATTACGTAACCGGTGACACGTGAACGTGTTCCAGTAGCAAACAGGCAGTTAAGGCGTGACAAGAAACATAGGACAAACTTACGAGAAAAATACTACGACAGAGTCCTTATCGGGGTAGAAAAAAATAACTTAATTAAACTAAAGTGAAAAGACCAGAGAGTCTAACCTGCTACTGCCCATCTCTACCGACCGTCTGCTGCTTCGCTTGTCTAGTTGTTGTACTTTTAACCATGTTGTAGTTGTACGTCCCTAACAAAATGAATAATTTTTCTCTTTTACATAAGACAATTTTAGGTAACTGGAAACGATGTAATGTCCATCGTCATTGTCTCGTTGTGTGAAAAGATACTACTATTCTTTGATCTCAAATAGGCTGTGTTTTATTCAACCCAATGTTTACTAAATTGTTTCTACACTAGTCCCAATAAAATATTGAATATCAAGTCTGAATAAGAACATACGTGTATACCTGAAAGTGGGCGTTACGATGAAAAGGGTAAATTATATAAAACAACGACGACGATTGGGACAAGGGCATACCCGTAGTTAATTTCTAGGTAGAATAAAGAGTATCGAAACGACCGAGAGCAGACCTCCAGTAGTCTCCTGCCTCCCAACATCTAGGATTGATACTTTACCAAAAATATTAAACGTCAGGCGAAACAAGGTCTTTCTGTTTGACACAACGTTTTACATAACATTTTCATTTCTAGAGTTTATTTACCACACATAACTGTACACTCCCCTGTAGTACGATTTACATAACGTTAACTTGTACCCCCATTCGATATACACTACTTCCCGTTTACAACTCCCGACGTGCTTTGACAAACTCTTGAGCTAAAACAGACGTGTATATACTCTAACATTTACACAAACTAAGATACACTAATACACACAACAAATATTGAGTGACAACTTAGTAATTGACATGAAAACATTACGTAAACACAGAGAGAACCACTGACCCATTTAGACAGTACCTATTAAAAGATTTATACCCCTTTCATTTTTGGGTGACCGCAGTGCCAACTGCAATCTCCGGATTGTAATCACTTTGTTGCCACTACTTAGAGCTACTTTTGAACACAAAAATGTACGGGCTCTGAATTTAGCAATGATACAATCGAAGTTGGCCGGTTAAATTTAATTGAGGGGGAGTACGATCCTGAATTGGACAAGGAGTATCTTGTCTGGTGGCCCCAAAATGGGAAAAAGATGGCTTGGACTGCGAAAGTGTTATCAACTGACGGTGAATTTGCATATTTAAATAGATCATACATTTACAGTTTATCATTATTATTATTAACAGTTGTTAGGCCTATGTTTTATTTGTTAAAATATAGCAGTGGCGGCTGGTCAATAGAGGTGCTATGGACAGTTTTATATTTATAATAAGTACAATACTGTTTAGTATATCAAATCTAAACCGTTATATGTTTCATTAGAATCATTACCCTCTCTCGTCTGGGAATTAAGCACCCCAGCGCAGCTGCAGCCAACCGCTGACCGTTGCTACCCGAAAAATATGGCAGCACATTTCAGCCAATCAGCGTCCTCAGATCTGTTAAATGAAAGGCGCTCTAAGTTATTATTATTAAAAAAAAAAATAGTGTTTTTTATCTAAGAAAGTGTCGCTCATTGGAAACAGTAATTAGTAAAAATATACTTACATTCTTCAGAAAGATGATATCAAAAAAGCAGCCCTCCATAGTTAATTATCCTTCAGGTATAGCTCTCAGTTTCAAAAAGGTTGCAGACCCCTGGTATAAAATATGCCCCCATCCCCCCCATCTTCCACAGCCCCACCTAAAATATGTTTCACCAACTGCCACTAATAAATAGTTTAAATCACCTGGGCCCAGGAGTTCAAAACTTTTAATCTCAATCAGATCCGATCAGATTTTGAAATCCCATTTTTTGTGATCCAGGATCAGACAAATCGGCCAAATGTTGTCCCTGGAGTTCAAAGCAATTCAGGATAGGATCACCCTGATCCAGAATACGATTTTTCAAGATGACTAGATCCTGAATATCAGTGCTTTAATCCAGCGGTCCCCAACCTTTTTTGCGCCACGGACCGGCTTAATGTCAGACAAATTTTCACGGACCGGCCTTTAAGGTGTGGCGGATAAATACAACAAAATAAAATGACAAGACNAATTGTACCTTTACTCAAAAAGATATTTCTAGACATTGACATTCTACACAGAAGATAAAACACATTAAAAAGAACAAGATGTTTTAGATGTCTTCCTCATTGACAGCTTCATATATTCTTGCACATGTGCAAAGGTCAACTCAAAGAATGGTTGAGAAACAAACAGACGTGCAATCACCGCTAAATGCACTTTAACACAGGGGTATCTCCTCTTGTATTATCTCTTGCACTTAATATGTCGTTGCTGCTATAGTGTACTGCCATGTGGTAAATGCTTGTGTGTGCTGCTCTTGCTCTTTTGCATATCATGTATTTATTTTTTGCTATGTTTACAAATGTCATGTTCTTTTATGTTGTATGTCAGGGACTACGGATGGAAATTAGCTCAAAGCTAAAATCCGGCATATTTACACTTGAATCATTATTTGTCTAAACAAGTGTTCGTTAATGTGCATTGTCCCTATTCAAATAAACGATTAAATGAAAAAAATGGAAAGAGTATAGCTTATTGCTTAACAATCAGCAGAACTATCTGAAAAAGACATCGAGACCGTGGAACATATTTTCTTCCAGTGTGAGCATTTTCCACAATTTTGGCTTGCATTATAGAGTTGGCCATATTTTCATATACATTTCAAAAAGGTATATCAGTTAACTTCACCAAACTAATTTAATGTCAATCAAAGATGGAGTATTTTTAAAATAAAAAAATGAGGAATTTGTGGTTTACAATTTGATCTCTTTAAGTAGACACTTCATACATAAATGCAAATATCTTAAGGTTAAGCTCAACTTTACTGCATTGAAGCAAAATCACTTCATTACATAAAGGAAAGAAACGCACAGAAACTTTTCTTATTATTTGACTTATTTATTCCTCTGTTGATAATGATGTTTGTTTTTTCGGTTTTGTAATCTATAATTTTTCTAAGATGTACACACTTATTTAGTCTATTCGACGTACAATAAGTGCCTTAAAGGTTTGTTAATGACTATTGATTAATAAAGTTATTTTTAAATCTGCGGGAATATCGCGAGAGTGGCGCTGGTTTCCATGGAGACGACAGCTCAATACAAACGCTCTGAGCACGGAGAGAGGAGCGTGAAGTGCTTAAATACTTAAACATACATTTTTGTTTTATAAGATGACATTTCATGATAATAAAGCCGGCAGAATTGGAAACGGGTAAGATTGATAGTGCTGATACAGGCTGGTAAACCGAAGGAGAGTGACGGGAGGTGAGTTAATGTCCTCACAGTGTGTATAGTTAATGTGCTGTGACGTTAACGCGATGTTACCGACACAGCACTTTCACGTTTACTTACTTTCAATTAAATCCTGGTGACATTTACTAAACTGGTGCAGAAACCTTTTAAGTAAGTCAACGTTACTTTAGCAGTAGTTTAATACATTTTATATTGACTTCTTCCTGTAGCCCTTAGCTGTACAGCCACACGCAGTGTGTAAAGTAACTAAGTAGGCTACATTTACTAAGTAGCCTACTGTTCGTATACTTTTGGAGTAGCCTACTTGTACTTTACTTGAGTATTTGCATTTTGTGCTACTTATAGCCTACTCCACTACAATTCAGAGGTAAATATTGTAGCCTACTTTTACTCCACTACATCTTAGTTACTTTGTAGATATGGATTAATTATAACAATATGATCAACATTTAAATTATACCTTAGTTACACCTGGATTAAATTGACATGCTACCCAGCTGTAAATAAAGTGATTCAAATTAGTTCCACTTTTACCAAGTATGAATAATTGATAAACACATTAATTACATGAATAATTATAATCAAAACATAATATACACGATTCTCAAATGGGCAAATCTGCACAATGAGTACTTATGGTACTCTAAATATATTTCAATGCTAATAATGTTGTACTTGTATTTGAGTCACATTTTGAATGCAGGACTTTTACTTGTAACAGAGTATTCCTATGGTACTTCTATTTTACTTCTGAGTACTCCTGTCACCTTGAAAACTGCAGACATATTGATTTGGAGGTATACAAGTATTTTTTTCAAGTGTACATTTGTGATACTGTCCTGACCGTTTTTATGAATTGATCCAAATTCACTTTGTTTAATTATTGTTTTGTTGACTTCTAAGTGACATAGGTAGCATGTGTCAAGGTGTGTGTGCATTTAGCACAAGGTGTTATGTCACAGCTGAGTGGGGACATTGTTGTCCTTACCTAGTGAGCCATGTCATGATAGACCACACGACAGCATAAAGTAAACACAATATTTTAAAGGATATTTAACCCAAATACAAATGTATGTTGCTTTTTTGAAAAATGTTTCATATATACTGTAGCTCCTAGCAGGTGAAATGTCAGTGTCTTTTTTAAGAAGCTCCCCACCTTGAGCAAATCAGAAGCTAATCACCTCCCCCTGATGTGACTCTGCAATCAGCTCGGTTGCCAGCAGGTGCGGCTGTCTGGCTTTTTCTGTAAAACAATATATGCTGCCTTACTGGCTAATTTACTTAATTGGCTTTTACTGCCATAGAAGAGTTGCCAGCTATTTGTCAAGCATATAAGAGACTATTTACACGAGAACCCAAACGAAACGCAAACACACCGAATTCGATATCAAAAAAGTCTTCCGTTCACACGGATACGGCTCAACAAACGTGTCCCTTCACACAAGACCGATCGACCTTATTATACATCCATGCGATCGACCCGCTGGAGACGCTGTAGTACATATGCCGGGCCTGTAAGTGGCGCTGTACTTCCGCCACAAAATACACCAAAAGCAGCGAAGAAGACCCCCGAGCATGGTTGCCATGGTTGCCTGGTTGCCCTTCTGTTTATTCTCCGCGGTGGATTTAGCAACATGTAGTTCATGTAGTTCTCCATGTCCACTTGTTGCTGATGGTTGTGGTAGAGCAGCTGTAGATTGTGCACTAACATCTGTAGCATGGTGTTCAGTAGCTACTGACCATGCTACAGCAGTGAGCAGCAGAGGTGGGGAGAGGCGGGGCTATGGCTTCATCGTTATCAGGAAATGATCGTATAGGGCGTACACACGGAGCCGTTTGGCCCCCCAGAGCATTCCGTTTGCAGATCTATCCACCTTGGGACCCGTTATCGTTTTAGGGGTCCGTTTCCGCGGTTCCGTTACGGCCTTGTGTGAACGAACGGGCTATACCAAAGAGAAAAGTAGCGGATACAACCCATTTCTATCCCGTGTAAACAGCACCTAAGTCTGTCAGATACAATTTAAACACACAGGATCGCTTTTTTTTTAACTGCCTCTTATACATTTGGCCAAATATGTCCTTGCCTTTTCATCGCAGCTGTATTCATTTATGGCAGTGAGTGATTTTGCCCGGAGCAGCATGATAGCCCGTTTTATGCCATTACTGTTGCTTTTTATTGCAGAAGAGATTCTTCGTAAAATAGAAAGAAGCACATCGTGAGACGCAGGAGGAATACCTGAGCCCTCGGAAAGAAGAGAGATGAATTTAAATGACTTTGTGGTGCTTCCTAACAACACGGCCAAATCCGTCAAGCTCAATGCCAGGTAAGATGAGATACGATCAATGATGTGATTTAGGGCATTTGGTCGAAGCCCATTAGAGTTACTTGGCGGCCATACTGTTTCCATCTCTTCCCATTCAAATTCCACCCACAGAGCATTTCACAAAATGCAGTTTCAGGCCAGATAAGCCATGCGACCTGGGCTCTGATCATTCTCAGAGCAGGGTATTTGTTTTCTACATAATGCCCCAGTGCAAAATTGAGTCCAATCTCCCACAAAGTTTCTCATTTGCCAACAGGTAATGGACTGGATTGATGTCTGGCTTGGTGGTTCCCTGATCCAGTGACTAATTGATTAAAGTATTGATCAGTCATGGCAACAGGGATCTGCCAGTGCAGTAGATGAATAGAACATATTGATGAAAGCCCGGCCGTCCAATCTGACGGAGTAGGTCATTTGTATGATTGATCGTTGTTGATTGATTGCACATATGTGAGTGTGTGTTTGATGTTGCCGTAGGAACCTGCAAGTGCTACAGATGGAGACGGTGTCGCTGGCCCACGAGAGCAAAGAGATGGAGGAGAAACTGCAACAGCTGAAGGAGAGCATGAGTAAAGAGAAGGAGGAGAGAGGGTGAGTTAATAGCCTCATCCCAATACCCCTCCTCGACTCCTCTCTTCCCCTCCTCCGGGACTTGACCCGGAATTCGATCAAGACACGCCATTTTGAAGGACGTCCCAATAGCTGAAATGCACACGGAGGAGTCGAGGAGGGGTGAGGGAGGAGGGGTGCGGGAGGAGACGAAAGGGAGGATACACGCGAGCAGACTACGCGGAAGTGTTTTCACTACTCGCGTATAAAAGCCCCGCCCCCACCTTCACAGCTGGTCGATTTCAACAGAGGAAAACCCACAACTGGA